GTACTTATAGTACGCACCGTACGTAGTACGCGTAGTGCGCGTACTTCAAGCGTGCAGACCCTGAATTGGGACACAGCGAAGGTGGGAAAACGGGTGTAGGTTACAATCAGCCAAGGTTTCAGGTGAACCCTGTGAAACCTAGCTCCACCCTATCATGTGATTTCCTGAGGTCAAAAGGTCTAAATGTGAGTGGGCATCCTTCTTGGGGGACACTCCTATAGGGCTTAAATCTGGGACTCTCCACCATTTGACCTTAGAGCTGAAGAAGCTTCTTGGATGAGAGGTGAAACGTCTTGAAACAACTTAAAGAAATCCAGACGCTTCTCTTTCCAAGCTCCTTAGACTACGATGACCTGAATGACTGAGAACCTTCACAGACATATTGGGAAAGGTAATAAATGCAACGTGACACAAGCACAAACACACTGTAACATGTTATTGATCTCTGCTTTCACCCACCTGTTGATTGGTCAGAGTCCAAAATAAACATATTGGTCTGCAGTTTCAGATATATAAACCAGCCACACGTCAGACCTAGACAGACTTAGCAACTTAAACCTATGATGGTGAGTAACTTTTTACTTCACAGTAAATGTTGAAACAGGTTTTGAAAATGTAATTAACCTAAATATAAAACTGCAAAACAAGCAGACTGTTCACTTATTGCTGAAGATAATTTAACATTTGATTTCTAAGGAATTTTAGTTTTCAGATTTTACCATATGTTTGAGTTTCATGTTTCTTGTGCAGCCTCTCCGTTTAGGGTAACAGTGGTGGTCAGCTGTTTAATGGCTGCAATATAAACTGTTTGCAATAAAACTGTTTTTCCTTTTTATTAAAGCTGTCATTGCTGTTGCTGCTGGCTCTGTCTGCAGCCAGTCCTCAGGGCACTGTGAAGAAGCACTCAGAGGACAGAAATGGTAAAATGTAACTGGCATTATGAATTTGCAAAAGTGTCCTCATGAGTCCTTTTGTGAAAATAAACAAGTGAGATTCACTTTTTTATACTAGCTCTAAAACTACTTAGAGATGAAATGCTCAGATAAACCCAGTGTACACTATGTGCTCAGGAGCAATAAGCACTAATCAAACAGCTAAAGACCAGGATTCGTCAGTCTAAAGGCTGCAACACACCGAACACTACAAATTCATCCTTGGATCATCAATTTACCTTGAGGCACTGGAATTGTTTATCTCCTGCTTAAATCTGAATTAACCCATTTAGAAATATCAGGAAATAACGAGACGTCCAGTTCATATTTTAATTTTTAATTATTATTATTTATTTATTTATTTAGTTACCAAGATTTGGCTTAAACCTGATTTTAAAACCGTTTTACCTGACAGTCATAAGAAATTCTGAAATAAAAGAGAAATTTAAGATGAATTGAAACTACTAGGAGAAAATATCATAGTCAAGTTAAAATTGTGTCGACCTTATGAAAAGAGCAGTTTCTGAAGTTTCATCTTTTCACACTTGCATATGATTTTTTTTTTTTAAAAGGTTTTTGTTTTCTTTCATACAGTGACCTCTCTGAACCCAGATCTGGACAGAGCTCCTGAAATGACGGACATCTCAGTTAACACATCAGTATATCAACATCTTCTGTTTCCTGCCAAGATGAAACAGAAAAGGCAGGCGTATGATAATAAGGGCAACGTGAAATGGCAGACCTGGAATGGTTTCCTCCCTTCTGGAGCGGTGTCAATTTACAACACATATGTGGGACGTATTGACTATGTCTGTAAACATGGATGCCATGCTGGCTTGTACAGCCATAGCTTGGGAGATTTCTGCCACTATCCCTATGGCGACAAAGAGTATCGTACGGGCTCATTTGATATCCTTGTGAATGACAAATACTTTGAGATTCTGGAGTGGAAGGAAGGTTCCTTTGGTTCAGTGCCCAAACATGCAGTTAGAACATGTTCTAGTGATGAGGTTTATGTTGGAAAAAACAGGTATGGTCTAGGTAAAGTGCATCCTAGACACACTGCATTTTTTCTACCTTGGAGAGGTAAAGAATATTGGTACAAGTACTATGAGGTGCTGACCATTAATAGAGATATTGACAGTGAGATCATCTCTGATGTCAGATATAAAACTAACAACGCTAAAATCATCGAGAATCCTCCAGAGACCATACGCATCTCTTCCAGTATTAACAATGGATGCAATCCAGTGACAAAAACAGTAACTCTTTCAAAGACAGTTAGAGATGAGAAAAGGTGGGACATTCACGCTTCTGTCTCGTTTGGTGTCACTACGACTTTTACTGCAGGAGTCCCTGCCGTAGCATCCGGAAGCATTCAGGTTAGCGGTCAATTTACATTTGACTATTCAAATGGGGCAACTCATGCAGAAGAGCACACCCACACTGTTGAAGTACAGGTCTCCGTCCCACCAAACCACTTGTGCAAAGTCAAAATGCTGGCTTATAGGTATGATGTAAACATCCCTTTTACTGCTCTCCTCACCCGAACCTACAGGAACACAGCAATGAAACTATCACACATCTCAGGGACATACTACAGCATCCAGACGGGAGAGGTCCATGCTGTGGTAGAAAGATGTGAATACCTAACTTCTGCACAGCCATGCCCACAAAAGACATAATAACACAGTTGAAATCATGTGTATATACAAGTTAAGTTGTAAAGTAAAACTTAATATTCCAAATTTATCCCTCCAAAAATAAAAATGCATCAAATGTTCTGTTTGTCATGCAATACCCTCCTTTCCTTGTTTCATTATTCATACAACATTATTTATTTATTTTTCGTAAATAAATAAAACAAGTTTGAAAAAATGTTTTTTTTTCTAAACAAAGTACTTCAATAATATTATAATATTATGCTTTAAACTAAAATAGTGTTACCTACCAAAAGTATTTATAGCACCTCTTCCAACTTTTAAAGTATTGATTTAGAACAAAATTTTCCCATCTTAACTCTGCATGTTGTTATATAAGGCATCACAGTGTTGCAGTATTTAACTTTGTTGCCTCACAGCAAGAAGGTCCTGGGTTCAAATCCACCATCTGCCCGAGGCCTTGCAGTGTGGATTCCCCGTGTCTGCAGGTGTTCTCACTGGGTCCCCTGGCTTCCTCTCACAGTCCAAAGACAAGCAGTTACTGGGGTTATGTTTACTGGAGATCCTAAATTGCCCACAGGTGTAAATGTGAGTGTGAATGGGTGTCTGTCTCTGTGTGTTAGCCCGGCAACAGACTGCCAGCCTGCCCATGGTGCACCCCACCTCTCGCCCTATGGCAGCTCGGGTAGGCTCCAGCTTCCTTGTGATCCTGAACTCGATAAGTAGAAGATGTACAAATAACCCCAACCGGTCGCGGCAGATGGCCGCCCCTCTCTGAGCTTGGCTCTTCTGGAGGTTTCTTCCTGTTAAATGGGAGTTTGTCCATCTCACTGTCACCAAAGTGCTTGCTTAAAGGGAATATGTAATTGTCAGGGTTTTCTCTTTTGTATTATTTTAGGGATTTTACCTTACAATATAAATCACATTGAGGTAACAGTTGTTTTGATTTGAGGGTGTATAAAAGAGAATTGAATTGAATTGAATTAAATAGCTGGACTGATGTTTGAACACATACAAATTGGCAACTTTGCTCTACCTGCTTAGTTCTTATGAATCTATAAGAATAATTATGATGATAATTTTTTTCTTTGCTGGACTGTAGTATTTGATATCTTATTCAAGGAATTGGTCATTCACGAGACACTGTGACCCTCTTAAATCAGACTAAAAATAAAACTTCCTACCTTCCTTCCAAGATAATGTGATAAAGTAAAGGAAGAGCCGCACTCTCTTTATCTCTGACCATGTGCTCAGTACTAATAATAATTTCATGTTGACTTACCAAGAATAAACTTTTTAGTGGTGTGATCACTACATCAGTTTTTAATTCTTCACAAAAAATTGTGAAAACTGTTTTTGTACCTGGCTTTCTTGTTGGGTGTTTTCAGTCAATCCAGCAGATGGCTCTGAAACTTCATTAACTGCTCACCACAGCAGCTCCATTAATTAGAAGCTTTGTGGTATGTAAATGACATGTAAATGTCGTTAAAGATGTAAAAGTGACACTGTTTTACTTTTTTTCCAAAACAATCAAGGCTTATAATGAAATTTTTCATGTTACTTCATATGTTCATTATATATGATTATTTTTATTTTTCCTGCAAAACGACAGCATCAAAAATTCAATTAAATTCTATTTTATTTCTTTAGTGACAAATCACAGCAACAGAACTTAAATTGATTTACTGTTGTTCAGATTTTCCATAATAACAGTGCCTTTAAGCACAGGCAAGGGTACAGGTAAATGTTCTTGTTTTTTTAGCTTCTTCAATCTCCATCAGAAAAGTTTGCACTTGAATTAAATACCGATGTTACTCATAACACTGAAGTTTATATGGAAATATACCTTTGAGCATAGCTGGACTGGCCGGTGGGCCGATGGTGATTTTTCGTTTTTATGGGCCGATAGGTTTAGGTCCCAGTCCAGCCCTGCACCGAAGACATTGTGGCAGTAGGCAGGAATAATTTTACATGTACAAGTGACGCTGAGCTGAGTCGTTTTTGCAGCCCCTGATGATCTCTGGCTGGCCTCAGGAAACATGCGCTAAAACACAGCTACCAGTTCGCCTCGACAGCAACACTGAAAACGGGGAAAAGAATCACGAGAGTGATTATGACTTGCATCTCTCATGCAATCGTTTATTGCAGTGCAAATGAACAGAAACGTTTCACATTCTGTACTGCTTAATGTCACATGGTGGAAGAAAAACACTAAATAATAAACCGAAATACTAAAGTGCTTACTATACATATACTTGAGCAGGTTTCCTGACAAAATGGTTGACAATAGCGGCATTTTTAGCTCCTGCAGTTATCTTGATGGCCATTACACAGTACAAAACTGAGGCTCAAAACCGCCTCGTATATGTGCACAAAACTGTAATATAATGCTTCTAAAGCTTACAAAACAATGAAGGATTACCTCTTAAATATCTTAACAGTGTACACATTGGATATATATCAACCTTTAAACACTTTTACCTGAAAATAGGGGGAAAAGAATCAGGAGAGTGATTATGATTAGTGATGTGCGGATCGATCCTGAAATATCGATTCCTAAGATACCAATCATGTATGTTCTAGAATCGATTCTCACATTAAAATATCGATATTTTAGTAATTTAGGGTAAATTTGTAGTTTATCATAAACAGGAACACAGTGGAAAGAAACTATGGCTGTGTCCCAATTCAGGGTCTGCACGCTCGAAGTACGCATTTTAAGTGCGATTACGTCACCGCCACGCGACGAGGGCTGTCCCAATTCGAAGTGTACTTCAAATGCATACTCCAAATGCGCCGTCGATTTCCCCAAATATCAAGCGTGGTCCGCTTAATTAATCTAATAATGGTCAGTGTTCCAGGATTGATTACTGGTTAGTCTCTAACAATTTGATCAACAACATTTCTAAGTGTGAAATCTCAGCTTCCCCTCTAACTGATCACTGTTTGATTTCCTTATTCATCTCATTAACCAAGGTGAAACATCAATCCCTTATTTGGAAATTCAACAACAACCTTCTGCATAATGACAACTTCTGCCTTGAAGTGAGAAATTTAATTGTGGAAATTGACAAACTAGATATGTCACATGTGAGCAAATGGGAATGGTTTAAATTCCAAGTTAAACAGGTAGCAATTCAAATTAGCAAATCCATTGCTAAACAGAAAAGACAGACAACAAAGCATTATTGAGAGAATCAACAGGTTATGCTGCAAACAGGATTTTATCTCTGGACGAACATATACAACTAAACACTTTTCAATCTCAACTAGACAAACTGTTCTTAGAGAAAGCCAATGGTGCCTATGTTCGTTCAAGAGCCCGGTGGATTGAGGAGGGCGAGAAAAACTCTTCCTACTTTTTTAATTTAGAGACAATCGAATAAGAAGATTCAATCACTGAATATCAAGGGGGTTTTGACTGAGGACCATGACAAAATAAACGTGGAAATACTTCATTTTTACAGTAACCTTTACAAGTCAACCTATTCAACGGAGAATGGCACTGTGTTTCTGGAAAGTCTTAGAGGCCTTAATGGGACATTGGATGTGGATGTAAAGGTTCGTATGGAGAGTAAACTTGCAATTGAAGAGCTGGACAAGGCAATCAAACAAATGCCCAGGGGCAAATCACCAGGTATTGATGGGCTAACAGTGGAATTTTACTCCTTTTTCTGGCATGACATTAGATTAACTCTTTACAGTGCATACTTAGAATGTATCTCATCAACTAATCTTTCACCTACAATGAAACAAGGTCTAATCACTTTAATTCCAAAACCCAACAAAGACAAACTACTTCTGGATAATTGGAGACCCATAACCCTTCTGTGTAATGATTATAAATTACTGGCTCATGTATATGCGAACCGCTTAAATGATTGTTTAACACATTTAGTGGATGAATGTCAGTCGGCGTTTATAAAAGGAAGACATATACACAATCACATTAGATTGATTTTTGATATGCTTGATTATCGCCAGTATATAAAGACAGAAAGCTTAGTGTTGTTTTTGGACTTTTATAAGGCTTTTGACACGGTTGAACATCCCTTCCTGCTTAAAGCCTTGAATTTCCTGGGTTTTGGGGAAAACTTTTGTAATGTGATCAAAATGTTTTACAGTAACATTTTTAGCTCTGTCTCGCTTAACCCTGGAATGACACCTAGGTTTGAAGTGCAGCGAGGTATCCGTCAGGGATGCCCTATTTCCCCCAAATTGTTCATATTAACCACTCAACTGCTGGCACTTATCATCCAAAAAGACCCTGATTTACATGGTATTAACATTTTTGACAAGGAATTCAAAATAAGCCAGTTTTCTGACGATACTGCACTGTTTTTAAGAGATAAATCCATGGTAGCTAAAGCGCTTAACACTATCTCATTATTCTCCCAGGCGTCAGGACTGTGTCTGAATATTAACAAATGTGAATTGTTACCTATTCAAACGTGTTCTGATTCTAATATAGCTTCTATAAGAGTTGAATTGGAAGTTAAATATTTAGGTATAGTGATTTCTAAAAATATGTCCCGAAGAGAAGACAACAACATCTGCAATCGTATCGTCGACATGAAGAAATCCCTTAGTCGTTGGTTGACCAGGGATATCACTATATTTGGCAGAGTCATCCTTTCCAAAGCTGAAGGTATCTCTAAATTAATTTACCCATGTCATTCTCCTTATATTTCTCCCCAAATATTAGGAAAGCCAACTCAATTATTTTCCAATTCCTGTGGAAAAACAAAACCCACTATATTAAGAGATCACAGTTGGTTAAAGACTATGAGAAGGGTGGTGTCAGAGCCTTAGACTTTGAATCAATGATCGGAACTTTTAAGATCAACTGGCTCAGAGCTTGCTTATCTCAGTCTGATTCCATGTGGTTTCATATACCCAGATCTTTATTTAAGGAACTAGGAGGAATTGATTTTCTATTAAGATGGGACTTTGAGACTAGTAAAATACCTGTTACACTCTCTAATTTTCACAAACAGATTCTTCATTTTTGGAAAATGATGTTT